TTCAGGCATGTAAGTGAACCACAGTGGTTGCTAAAATGATGCTGGTGTCAACCTTTATCTGTTCATCTTTGGACTAAATGGCAATGCATTGCTTTTTGTGTATCATCAGAATGTAGCAGGAACTGTAGAAAAACCCCACTACTTTCTGCATCTTAATGGCAGATTGATACTTGGAGACATAATCATCACTAGAGAGAGAAAGAGACAATAAGACTGTGTGTATATGTAACAACAACTGAATAAATCAGAATCAAAAGACACATTTGGTCCTTCATTTCCTCTCTTCTACTCTTTATAACATTAGCTCATTCCCTGCAGCACAGTTTCTAGTGGCAGCCAATGCAACGAGCATCCCACTTGTTCATCTGGTAAACAACCAGCCCAGCAGCATTCATGCTTAACACATCTGACATAACCAGGCTGGACTGGAAATAACACCACCTATCAACTTCTCTCTGAGGACTAATGATACCACAACTCCATGGTCTACAGATGAAGCTATTAACTCTATAGCACCAATAGTTCTGCCTATGCAAAACGTATGGGAAGACAATAAGAGGCACAGAAGTTTTACGTATTCACTAGGCAGCCATAAACCCTGTAGAAAATAGAGTACAGATGGCAAAAAAAAAAAAACAAAACACCACCACTTCTTTAGAACTGTTTAGAGGGAAGTTTATGAGCAGATGTATAAATGGGGTTGCAGATGTTGTAAAAAAGCAAACACACCATTGTGTAAACAGGTAAATTTCCCACTAGTGGGGCATGAAGAAAACTAGATCTTAGTAAGGGTAGTAAGTTTATCCAGTAACTTAGTGTAAATTGTGGTAATTAAGAAATGACAAATCATTTGCACTCATTGAAGTTCTGTTCTAAAGCGATCTGAGCCTTCTCCTCTCCCTCTCCACATGCCAAATTTTAATTAAAAGAATACAAAACCAAGACAACAAAACATATGAATTAGATATATATAATCTACATTTGGTTCCTTGAGCTTTGAAAGCATCTAAGTTAAAAAAAATAACATCACTCATAATCCCCAAATTATTTGCTATTGGGCTGGAATTCTTACTAATATTTCCTTGTTACACAACTTACGAGAACATCAATGGGGTTAGGCTGACAAAAATAAACATACCAGCCTTGTCTTTACTTCTCTGTGCCTTCAAAATACCACAGATGTTTCAAAAGCCATTTGGGTTTGTCGACTTCCAGATTTATTCACCAAGAAATACAATTTGGGGTGGCAGAGAAATTCTAAAAAAGACACACAAAGCAACAACTTTCAGCAACGCCAGTCTTTCCCAAATGTTACACTTCTGAAGATAATTTATGGTCCTTGAAGGCCATGACTTTGAAAGTCAGCCTACATTTTCTAATCTCACTTTGAGATTGAAAAGTGTCTAGTGGAACACATACTCAGCTCTCTCCAACTCCAGTGAAGAATTTTATCCTCATTGCATTTCATCAGCTAAATCTTTTGCTCCCAGTTCCACTCATATGGATGCTGTGGTCTCTATGCCATCCTGCCTTATGATATCCACAGGGGAGTAGAGTGGTGCTGATGGAAACAGCTTTATGAGACCTTATCCTTCCCCCACACCCGTGTTGTCTTTTGTGTCGACATCCATGTCTTTTTTGGAAAGAGAAAAATGCGTTTGTACATACACACACACAGACACACACACAAAAGCAAAGCGTGCACGAAGGACTATGAACCAAAGAAACGCATGAAACCCCCCATTTCCTGGCACACTCGGCTTCTGAGTTAGCACTGGCTCTGGTCAGATTTTTGTCATGCCAAGCCATACAGGAATTTTATATAAGCAAACTCCCAAACCTGCGTGCACGTTTACATACCTATACATAAACGCTTGTGCAAGTAGCGTTACTTAAAAGTTAGGAAACCAACTTTTTCTTTGATGTCTGGTACTCTTTGCCACAAACAGTAGGTGCAGACACAGAAAAAAAATCAGATCACTGTCCATTTATAACTCCTTCCTTTGACCTTAATGAAGAGACAGCATATTAGTAGCCACTCCAAGCCCATCAACTTTAAACTTGTAAAATGACCTTTGAAACCATCTGCAATTACTTGCATTTACAATGGCTTCCACTTAGCAGCACCAATGTGACTACATCGTACCTTACCGCACCAGACATCTCCACTGCTTGCAGTGGCACAGGCAAACATTTGCATTTACAGTTCTGTGCTCACAATACTGGGATCAGTGTTGAAACTCAAGTAAAACCTAAGGTCCTCACATACCAAAATAAACAGACTGCAGTTCCACTGCCTAACTGTGTCAGTAACTTGCCTTGTGCATTGCAAGCAGGCATCCGTTCTCACTTATGTTTTCAAAGCTGCCTAACACAAAGTGGTAAGGGAATTGATGCTTCATTACAGGAAGGTATCAACACAAGGGCTGAAGGAGGTTAAAAAGAAAGCTGAAAGCCGAAGTCTTTTTAGAACATCTCTGTAAATGTCAGTGCTCAGCACTCCCTTCCTACCAAGGCTGCCAGCCATGCTCAAATGTGAGAGGGAGCTCTACGGTTTTATTCTCTCACTAGAAACTTAACAGAATATACTATTTTAAGCTTGCTTTACAGCCATTAATATGTCACAACTGTAGAAAAAGACAAAGAAATGCAACTTGTTAGAAGAGTGTGAATGAAGTCTGGGGAGAAGCCTTTAAAACTGACCTAAGAGAGAACGTGTGCAGCAGCATCACTGTTTTGGCCACCCCTCAGAATTAACTTTGCTGGCAAAGGAAGGACCTCACAATCCATCTCTGAAAAGGTCACACCAACTAGCCACTGCTAAAAGTGGCTACCTTCTCCCTCCTAAAGCAGAAAACTGCCATCCTGAAGCTGATCGCGATCCTTGAGGGTTACATGGGAAAAGAGAGGATGGTATGATGCCTTCTGCCATGCTTTGAAATCTACCAGTGCTCTTCACATTACTGCAGACAGCAAGGGAAACACCTTGGTTTACTCCGGAGAGGGTAATTCTGCTCCTTCAATTATTTATTTTTCAGTAAGTCAAAGAACATGAAAAGACATTATGAATCAAAGTTATGTTTCCAAAAACAGGCAAACACCACAGGGAGCAGAGGTGGCAACTTATTTACAGCCTTCATAAACACATTTTCTCTATCCCAAGAGGGGCTCAAGCTTCCAAAGCCCTGAACTAGATTTTGTACTCCCCTCAACATACTGAGCTCAAAAACCTCTGGCGTGATCAGAAATGGGTTTTGGACCAGCGCTGTGTCTAACAGTCATTTACAGCAAATTCTACCTTTTTTGCCTACTCACAGATCTCAGCCACAATAAAATACTAAAGGGAAAAGGGCAAAGTAAGCAACCTGTAAAACTTTCCAGCACACTTTAATAAATTGCATTTTCAATGATAACGACCTCGCACAACGATGCTAAAAAGGCCCTAGTCTAGAAGGATTTCCCTAACCATGAAGCTTTTCAAGTCCTTTGCTTAGGTATCTTCTGTAATCCAGATTGGGAACCATTGTTCCTATCAGAAAGATAGCCCACAGTCATTCTGAGAAAGCGACCATTATGCAACCTTGGCAGAGCAGTTTAAGTGGTTAAGAAGAGAAAGAGAAATGTCTATTTCAAAAAAGGCACCATCACAGCCTGACTTCTAGGCACAGAAGCCAGATCACAAAACCCTGTTCTCCCCCATGCAAGGCAGAAGTTTCACAATTAACAGTTAAATAAGGAAACGAATGTCTTGCTGAAAATTTTCATGAAATCCATATCACCATCGAGTAGCATCCTTTCAAATAGCACTTTTTACTGTAAATACCAAAGGAATTAACGAAGATCAACCCCTTCATTTAAAAATGTTACAGTACCACAGAGCAAGAAAGGTCATGTTTAAAGGGAATATTCTGCAGCACTGCAGAAGCAGTATTAACACAGAAATGAAAAGGGGAGGGATACAGAGTGTCAGAACAGCCGCGGAGAAAGCACCTGAGGAACATAACACCACTTTAAACGACAGAAGGACCCACGAAACGACTTCCGGCTTCAGCCCTTACCATGAACTCCTCCAGGGTCTGGTAGGTTTTCCCTCGAAACTCGCAGTAGTTCTTCTTCTCTTTGCACTGCGGGCAGCACTGCGTGGTGTCCACCTGGATGCACCGCGGATGCAGCCGGGGGCACTCGGGCTGTATGCACAGCGGGCCCTCTTCAGTGCACAGGCAGGGGCAGGCAGAGGGGCCAGGCGCAAATTTCTCCCCGATGGCATAGACGAATCCGCTCTCGTCCACGCAGCCTTTCCCTCGGTAGTCCGGGTAGGCGTACTCCTCCGGGGGTTCAGGAGTTACACTCGCAACAGCTTCTGGGAGAGAAGAATCTTCAGCCACCTGAGCTTCCTCGGGAGCAGCGTCCCTCTGCTCTTGCACTGCAACGCTCCCGGATTTACTGCCTGTTCCCTGGCTGTTCCAAGCCTGCTTTTGCTTAGTCCAAGACTCCTTGTTCGAGTAGTTCCTGTTCCCTTTGCTCTTCCAGTCCCTGCTCCCCTCCTCCCTTCCGCTCCTGCTGATCTCATTCATTTTCCCCGGGCCTGTCTGGCTGTCCCTTGTAGATGTGTGATCCCTCTTTTCCTGGCTCGCCTTTATCTCCTGCTTGTCTTGAGCCTTGGCCAATTTTTGTACAGGTATGGTGGAGCTACAGAGGGCAACCATGAGGCAGCAGGTTACAAGAAGAGAACTAGAGAGAGCGCCAATTGCCATTGCAGTAGAGCTGGGCATCACCTACTGCATCCCACAGGGGACACTGCATTCACATCGGAGGGAAGCGCTTCACAGATGCGCTTCACAGTCCCTAGGAAGAAAAGGATTAGGAACACTTCAGCTTCTGCATTTCTTTCCCCCCCCGCCCCCCCCCACTGCCTCCACTGATTCAACATCTCAAACAATATGCAACCTGTCTCGGTAGTTTATGCAAAAGGCAAACAACAGCCTGGTGCTGCATCCCTCCTCCGCCTCCACTCTGCCAAGTACTTATAAATAGCAGACCTCTGGACACGGACAGGGTGCCTTCGGCTCCGTGAGAGCACAACGCATAAGTCTGGGGAGTTCGGATTCGCAAAGCCAGATGCATGCAAAACCCAGAACATTTGAGGGTTATTTTTCCTTCTAAATGACAACACGTGAAGAGAACGCACGCTGAATTAAACAGCTCCCCAAAACACAGGAGTGTCCGGAACAGAAATCACCCGAGTGAATCCTATTTGCTGACTGCAAGCACGCTGGTTGTCATTAACCTCTTATTCAGTCTCAAGTATGCTGTCGGTTTGGGGTTGTTTATTTCTTTACTTACCAGTGAGCACATTTCAGTTAAAGACAACCGAAACGAAGCACGTTAAAGCGCGTACAGCCAGACTATCTCTCCTCCGAACTACCTAAACAAGCACACACCACCACTTTCTCCCTATGTCTTAAAGGCAAAGCGGAGCCGTTGAGAGTTTCCGCAGCAGAGGCTCGTTTAACCCACAACCTCCAGTAGCCCTGCGCCGCTCCCGGCTCCCGTCCTGAAACCGCGGCACACAAAACTGGGAGAAAACCAACCCAGAATGGGTACACTGCTCCTCCGCCCGCGATGAGCGACGGCACTTCAGGCTCCCGACACGGCCCCACCTCCGAGGTACGGCTCCCTAAACCCACGTAGAGCCTGCCGCTCTGCCCGCCCGCCTCCCCCGACCCTCACCGCGGGGCAGCGCGCTCCGCCTGCTGCCCAAACTTTCCGTCGGGACGGCCAGCACCGCCCGACCGCCTCCCGGCAGGGTGGTGAGGAGCGGGGTTCAACCCCTTCACCAGCCCGGCAGCCTCCCCCAGGCGCCCGGCCCTACACCTTCCTACCTGCGCTGGAGCCGGGCTCAGCCCCGCCGGCGGCTCGGAGCTGCAAGCCTCACCCCGCGCCTGCCTCCCATGGCGGGGCCGCGGGCGGGCGGCCGGCGTCGGCTTGTTGCAGCCCGCCCGTCGCCGCGGTCCTGCAACGCCTGCAGCGCAGCGCGGCACAGCGGCCAGCCGATCCAGCCCCGCCGCCCCAGGGGCGGGCTCCGCCGCGGTACCCGCTTCTCTCACATCGCGGCCATGCGCCCCCGTCCCCGGGGGCAATGGGGCAGAACAAGGCGCTCCGCACTGCCCACCCGTCCGTCCTCCCTCCACCGCCGAGCCGGGCGCAGGGCGGGGACTCGCCGCTCGGCGGGGGGGCGGTGGCGCCCGGTGCGGCCGCACGGCGCCCCTGCCCGCCCCGCCCCGCCGGTGGTGGGGGGGGGACGGTATGGAGTTGTTGACCTGGTTGTACAGCTGAGTCCCGCTGAGGCGATGACGGCCTCGGGCGCGGGGGGGGGGGTCCCACAGCGGGAGGTCGAGCGGGTGCCGGGGGTGGGGGGAAGCGGGGCAGCGCGGGCTCATCCGGGGTCGGTCCCGCACACCGGGATGAAACTTTTGCCGGTGTAAAGGTGCCAGCTCGGGATGGAGCCTGCGGCGCGGCGGGAATGGGGGCACTTTCCGCGGTGTGAGACGCGTACCGGCTGCCGAGGTGGTGGCCGATGCGGAGGCAAACTTGCGGTATAGCCGGGCCCGGGGCGCTGATAGCCGGAGCAGCGCCGGCGGTGTCTGCCTCCGGTGCCCGTGCTGAAGCATCAGATCCCCCTGCTTTAGCTGTCTCCTCCTAGCCTTAGCTAGCGATGGAGCTGTACACGATTTGCTAGCTGAAATATTCACCCATGCTCGTGGATGGTCGATGAACACTTAAATGTAATTGCGTTTTTCTCCTTTATGCTTCTTGATAGAGAGAAAGGGGCAGAGCTGTCTACTACAAACGTGATGGCTGAAACAAGAGTGGTGGGACCGAAATGCAGAAGAAATGCTAGAGGTGCTTTTGTTCTGGAGCTGAGCAAGGGCTTGGAACCCAAAAGGTTATTTATTTACGTATTTGTTTATTTTTAAGCCGCATTAGATGACATACCAGTGTAATCTAATGAGCTTTACTTTACAGATGTTCCAGAGCAGTCCCTGCTGCACTAACCCTCTTCTCCCTGTAGTTCTTTAGCAGCTTTCTGTGCCCTACTCGTGGCCGGGGGTGGATTTCCCAAAGTGCTTGGCACTGTAACTGAAATTTTTAGGCTGTGTAAAATTTTCAGATTATTTTTCATTAAGATGGGAGCGCTGCGGTATCAGTACTCAGGAGAGCAGTGAAAATCTGCTGGATACTAATGTTTCACTGGTAAGTACCTTCATGAGTGCCGGTTATTTGTGAAAATCCAAACACTTAAACTCCTCCACAGGAGGATGCAGGTGCTAAACTCTTTTAGCTGTTAGGTTCTTGTTGTAAACATCTATGAGACCTGCCTAGTTTACAAAATTAGTTCTATTGACACCATCTCATGTCTCCCAGTCAGATATTCACCAGCTAAATAGTGGTTTAATCTTCTGAAACTTTAAAAAACAAGACTAAAGTTTTGAAGGATACAAGAAGTCAAATGTTTCTGTAGGCTGCAGGAATTCTAGATTGCTATGGAGGCTTCCTAGACGAAGTCTTACAGGGTTAAGCTACACTTTTCTCATTACCTGACTGATAGTCATTAAGAAGTATTTGCCTTCAAATTATTGTCTTGTTACCTCTGAATAAAGAATTAAATCTTTGCCTTTTCTACAAACAGTAGTTTTATGCCTTATATAGCTTAAACCCTGACATGGGGTGATCAACCAGTATGCAACACTGCTAATTCTAGGAGAACTTGAATGACCACCCTTACCTTGTGTTCACAAGCTTATAAGCTTTGCTGTCAAGCAGCAGCTAGTTGTGGCTAAAGCAGGACAGAAAGAAATGGGGGACTTGGGAAGGCAATGCTACACGTGTGATAAAGAGGAGAGAGAAGCCAATTTATGGTTCTGACATTTTCACATGTTCCCAGGTGAATCTTTGGTACAAAATCTGCGATCAGCATACAGCCCTCTCTCTGTAAGAGCTCTGCCTCTCTCAGACGGATCAGCCAGGGCTGGAGGTTCAAGATGCTGCTGTGTAATAAGAAGGGCAAAACTTTAGAGAATTCTCATGGTGACAACTGCAGCTCATCTTAGCCTTCTTGGCAAAGAAAGAGGATAAATACCCTCATTTCTTTTCCTGAAAGATTTCTCATTGGATTTAAGCCTCTGTTTATTCAGATTCATAGATATATTAAGTGATGGATTGTACCTGACACTAGGACCCTTGCAGAACTGCTTTGTTATAGCATCAAATTGCAATATGTTATAGCAATATGCAATGTTGTAGTCCAAGTGGTCAAACAGCAGATATGTTAGAAGTATTTGGTGTTTTCTTGAGTGTGAATTTTGAACTAGAAGAAAAGAGAAACATGAAAATCTCTTATTTGAAAACCACTTTTAACAATGTCTTTAATATGAGTTTTATATTTCTTGTATAACATATAAGGTTGTGGAGACAAGTCCTTCTGTCTTTGTGCAGGATAGACATGGCATAAAAACACAGATCCAAGTTCCCCCACTCTGCTCTCCCCCTAGGCAACAGTAACAAGGACAACTGTGTCTCTGGATAAGAATCAAATTCTGCATCCCGTTCAAGACGCTTTCCCTTCTGCTGGATCTTGCCTGCATGATGAAAACTTTGCATTAGCCACATCAGAGCTGTCATGAACACAAAATTATCTATGCTGATTTTAGCTTAATTTTACTAGGAATTAGCTTATTTTTACTTGGAAGCAGTTGAATGGAAAGAAACTTGGTAGCTGAAATAAAAATGGTGCTGGAGAGGAATGACTGGAGTTAAACTGGTGTGGTGACATTCTCCATTAGACTAGGCTCAAGACAGTGAGTGTGGACATTCAGGCTGAACACAGGGTAGCTATTTGAAAAGCTTAATGAAACATCTATTTCATGAGATTAGGGGGATTGAAATTTTGAACAATATATATTTTATTTTTTTTTTTAAGAATGGCCTTAGTGTGAATGACAGGAGCCCAAATGTAGGATGTATCTTATGCCAAATTAAAAATGGTTGTCTGCCTTGTTAATAACAATATAAGACTAAACCCTCATAGCTATGCATACGTTTCACCTAGACATCTAAGAACAGCGAGACAAGCACTTTTATCCTAATACATGGATAAAGAAAGGCCCAGGATACGGGCATATGTGCGCAGCCCCCCCACACCAGGTGATCACTCAACACATCTATCCCTTCACAGGGTCTCATGCAGGGAGCATGCTCCTTTTTTCCTATGTAGTAAGTGTCCCCTGGTGGCCCCTGTCTTCAGCCAAGACGACAGAGAGAGAAAAGAGGAGAGAGTTCAATGAAGGCCTGTGGAGCTGGGCAGGGCACGTCAGCAGAAGAGGAGCCTCAGTACAATTGAGGGGGGGAGAATGAGGAAGGTGTGTTTAGAAAACCCCACCCAACAGTGAGATTGGGTTTGGTGACAAGATTGCTGTCTGAGCCCTTGGAGGCGACAGTGCGGGCTCGGGGGAAGAGTATAGCAGAAGGTGTACTCTGTGTGTGCCTGTCTCAGCTCAGAGGCTCTGAAACAAACTCCAGAAGCTGAGAGGGGAAAAGGTGTTCCCAAGGAAGGACTCCTCTGGGAAAATGGATAGTCATGCCTTTTTATTTTGTTTCATTTCATTATTTCTCCTGAAAGGAAGAGAGTTGTTACAGGAAAGGTATTTTTTATTGTGGTGCTAAAGTGGCAGTTGTTCAGGCAGGCTCACATCGCAGCCTTCGAAAGGTAGCAATTTGTGCAACAATATTAGTCCAGCCATATAAAATAGGGCCTTCAAATAGCAGTCAGTCTGAAGGCAGAAAGAGAGAAACAAAGCCAGGGTACATATTACTCTAACAAATGATGTGTATTTGAAAAATTCGATTATAAATAAGCAGTTTAAACAACTCTTAAAAAAAACCCAAGCAAACAAACAAGCTTCCATAACTATTTTTAAACTAGGTTAGCTTTCATCTTTTTATTTCTTCTATTTTCTTTATGCCACTTGGCAAAGGATACTGAACACATACTGCTCCAGTTCTTTCTTTTTTTATGAGTCTGATAAGTAGTTATTGAAGAAGTATTACACAAGCTGTAGTTACAGTTGTGTCTTCATTAATTGTTTTTAAATTATTTTTTTTTCACAGATAATGATGTTACAACATTTTTCTTCTGTTTTGCATGCATGAAACCAAAACTTAAATGGCAGGGGGAGTTCCTCTGTCATTTAGAGCTTAGGATCTTCAGTAAAAGGACTCTCTTTACACTTCTGTAAATCACAGTTTGCCCGGTGGGAAGCAAACAATGATTTTTATTTTAAATTTTGCTTTTTACTTTACCCCGACTGACCCAAGGGATATTCCACACCTCATGACATCAGGCTCAGCACCAATGGGTATCTCAGAATCATAGAATGGTTTGGTTTGGAAGGGACCTTAAAGTTCATCCAGTTCCAACCCACTGATGTGGGTAGGGACACCTTCCACTAGATAAGTGGAACATGATCTTGAACACTTCCTTGAACATAGAATCATAAAATCATTTAGGTTGGAAAAGACCTTTTAAGATCGTTGAGTCTAGCCATTAACCAGTTTTCATTCCAGTTTCTGATTCCAGATTCATTCCAAATGCCAATTTTAATCCAGTTGGTGGCAGCAACAGAAAATGGCAACACAGCTTAGCATGATATGGGAGGTAGGATCAGGCTCCGCATAAGACTAGTTTTGTATGTTCCTAATGTGAAACCTAAGGAATATTTGTGATATGGAAGGTGCATCTTACCAGACTGTCCAAACAGGTTAAAATGAAAACCAAACAGCTGCTCCAAGTGACTGTCACATTCTGGTTGTCAATTCTCAACCAAAACCAGGAAATCTTAAATTTCTTCTGTGAAGTCAGCTATACTGAGCATTTGTAATAATTTCTTCTTATTTCAGATCCCAAATTAAATAAAACCTGTATTATTTGCTATGACTAAACATGAATAACTGCCAAATATTTAGAAAAAAAGCATATCCCGTTCCGTCTCTGTTATGCTTGGCATACAAAGCTGGGGGAAGAAGAAGGAAAGGGGGGACATTCAGAGTGATGGTATTTATCTTCCGAAGTAACCATTACATATGATGGAGCTCTGCTTTCCTGGGTATGGCTGAACACCTGTGTGTCTGGGGAAGCAGTGAATGAATTCCTTGTTTTGCTTTGCTTTTGTGTGTGTCTCCTGCTTTACCTATTAAACTGCCTTTACATGAACCTATGAGTTTTCTCACTTCTCTGATTTTCTTCCCCACCCCACCAGGAGGGGTGAGTGAGCAGCTGCACGGTGTTCATTTGCTAGCTGGGGTTAAACGATGACAGTCCTTTTTGGCTCCCAGTGTGGGGCCTGAAGGGTTTGAGAGAACAACAGGTTTGATTGGAATGTGCTAGATTGAATTTATAGCTGTTATTGCTGTTTAGTGAGTAATTGACAGATTCCTGTGATTGCCGTGGGGCTTGCTTGCCTTACTGTACATAGAGTCTAGTGCTCATTACTGGCTGCGTTTTGCTTTTGCTGCTCACTGTACTGCTGTAGTGCTGTATTGCTGATCATCTTACTGTGCCGTGCCTGGGAACATTTTGATAACGGCAATGGTGATGCGCCTGGGCTGGCAGATGGCCATGGTATCACTGCTGTTTCTGTGCTGCTGTACTAGGCAGGCTGGAACTCCAATGTGAACTCGAATCAAAGGGACTGTGACCTGTGGATGGGTCCATGCACGAGGAGGACACCCTGCAGTGTCTGCGGGTGTGGATAAGCCCATGCTAGAGCAGATAAATCTCAAAGTATCTTTTCTGATTCTGTTTCCCACCCCATCAGGAGTGGTGAGCAAGTGGCTGTGTGGTGCTTAGCTGCTGACAGGGGTTAAACCACAACAAATAGGAATAAAATAAATATTTTTTTAATTTAAGATATCCTAACTTAAAGTATTCATAACAAGGTTTGTTCCAAAATGTGAGAAAGAAGACTGGCGTTGTTTAAAAGAAATCAGAAAAGCTCTCTTTCTGTGACTTGATCAATTTATCTCCTTGTAAGCTCTGAGGAGATTCTAATGCAAGTATTCAAACTCAGTCCATGATTCTGTTCTAGGTCCATGAAAGAGAGAGGGAAATACATGCTGCCTTTGTGTGTACAAGATGTCCACAAGTTCTGCTGCTTTCAGTCACTTTTCTATTCTTAACATGCCTGTTGCATCTCTAATGGACTTTCTGCCATTATAAACTTCAGAAAAGTGTTATTATGATCTTAACCACAATAATTGACTAATATTAAATATTGCATAGTGAAACCTTTGGAGAGAGGGGAGGATTCAATTTAGGACCTGTGTGTGTGGCCTCATTCTGAGGAAAAAAATAATTATCTATTCAAAGCACAGTATTTTGTGCTTGTAATTACAAGACACAAGAGTGATTATAAATGGATTTTGATGCACCTATTTTCACCACATTTCAGTAGCCTGGGCAAATTGCATGTTAATCATAGCTCACAATGTTATTTGATATTTGTGCCTTTTTGCTTGAAAACAGGGAACAAAACATTTTTTGCTTGTACATACACATGGACATGCGGAGAATAACATAAAACATTTAATACACCATCTTTCATATAAACAAGTCCTAATACTATACCTTGGTTTTCCCTTTTGCAAAGCTAAAGGATGCACTATGAACATTTTCAGTCTTTACATTGTCACTGTGTTGGAAAACTGAACAAGGTATTTCTTAAACTTGTGCTTAGCTCTCTTCACATAGAATCTGAAATTTGGTTGAAAGTACAAATCAGCATTACTTCTCCCTTTATTATTTGTAATTTCATTCTTGCTCTACTTACAATATTTAAATTTCTTTAGATACATTTGTGTTTACAGTAAATTTCTTCAATAAAGGCAACATCAACTATCACAAGGTTTAGAGGGAAAGAAAGTCTATTCCTGTACTGTTCCACATTTTAAGTTAATATATCTCATCCTTTCACTGCTTTTTAATATTACTGGAAGAAAACGCACCCCCCAAAAAACAAAACCTCAGCTTTGCTCTCTCTTTAGTTTTTACTTTTGTCATATTAAACACTGAACTAAAAGACTAAATGGAATTGAAGAAAAATACATCTTATATACCTTACAGCAAGATAGCGAAAAATAAACACTATTAATGTCAAAACCGATTTAGCACTGTAACTCATGCCAATATTTACTTCCATTCTCTAACTTGCTTTAAAACTTCCATAACAAGAATTGTACTGTTAAGAATTTGGTTTTTATTTAAATGATTTGAAAAACAGCATAGGTTGTTTTCTAGGTGATCTATGTATATAAAATATAACTGGTTTAAAATACATTGTTCTCATTCAAATACTCTGCTAATATTGGTATAGGGTCAAACATTCACTGTATGGTTGGTAGTTACAAACTTGTTTTCCACAAAGACAAGCCATTAAAAATATTTTTTTAAATGCCTTCTAAAGTTTCTGCATTATCAGATGTGTAAAATGCTTTCTATTACAACTGAACCATTTTAAATTATTTTTTCATTTTGTTGGAGAAGCTGATGAAACATATGTTGAAATTAAGTTTTCCAAGTCAAGAATTCGAAAATTAAGGAACTCACAGGATGTGTACAAAAGCCTGTGTTCTTCCCATGGTTTACAGAATTAACCACCTGTAATATAACTGTTTGCAGACTCCGAGAGCCATCATGCCTCTTAGGAGTTATTCTCCAAAACTTGCAGAGATACAAGGTCTTCAGTGATAC